GGTTTTGATAGTGATGACCTTTGATGACCTCGGGTGCCATGCGATGACCTAATGTGACCTCAAAATGAGTTATGGCATCAGCTGGCCGTCATGAACCGGTGCTAGTCATTGTTAATGTTTTGTTTTGGCTATTGTATCCTTCCTTTGATATTCAAATGTTTGCTCTAAGAAAATTACAAAACGCTTTAGTACCTATTTTATGTACACGTATCGATTGAAGTACGGCGTTTGAGAACTGACGCTACTGGCCTTTTCTTTTCATATTCATGTTCTTACATCTTTCCATTAAAGTACACATTTCTTTTTAATCGATTTCATAACACGAATTATTAAAACTTATACATCTCTGGCGCTCGATAATACTGAATGCCCTGAGGGCTCTCTGTCTTCACAATTCACAATGAGCGCCATTCCCCGCCAGGCTGATTAATTATCCCAAGCTGTCTTGTATATCGGAGGAGCTTAACACTAATGGTCGCCACTTAAGTGCCAGTATCAGTTTCATTAGTTTGCCTGCAGGCGCTTACGATATACGTCGCATCTAAAGCACATGTCTTCTATTGATGGTAGCGAATCCTTCTTATTTGGGACCCATTCAGCGATATTGAGTGTTGATGACGCACTTTCATTGGCCTAGCGATGATCACTCCCTCCCCCCACCCCCCACCCCCCACCCCACCCCCACCCCTGAAGATGGCTGGCCCCATGATCAGCTGTTTGTTCTACCCCTGCCTCGGCAGACGTGGGGAGGGGGCCGCGCGGCCCGACGGGGCGGGGAAGGAGAGGGCCGGGAGGGGAAGTTGCCCTGCAGGCGGGCGGCACGTGCTATAAACACATCGGGCCAGCGCTGGGCTGTCCCTCCTTGGAGATAGCAGGCAAGACGAGTCATCAAGTCGCTGTGGGGGGGGGGGGGGGCAGGGAGTGGTTTTGGCAGCGATAGTGCGGTTGTCAGCCTATTTGTTCGTTTTAATTTTTGCTTATCTGTGTAAGTCAAATGCTGCTTATTTTCTTTCTGTTAAACACAATCTCGAAAACGTGATGTAATGCTACTACAAACGCCATAGAAATGAAATATTTATTACGAATATGTCCTGTAATGAAACCATTGATTTCCCAACTTTTCTCGCATTGCTAAGGCACAACCTAGCAAGACCTGACCTTAGTTCGTCTCAGGTCGTTGGTCGTTCCCATCACAATCCCTCGCACCAGTACAGCGAACTAACTCTGCTTTACGTTTACTGTCACCGCTGCACAAACTGAAAACAGCGCCCGGCGCCGCGTCCGATTCTGTCAACTCCAGTTAGACGAAGCCTGAGGGAGGTTAGGGGAGCGGTTAGGGTTTGCCATGCTCCCCAGCGCTGCTAAGCGCAGGAAAGGTCAAGGTCGTTGATCCGAGCGACAGGGGCGGTCTCAACAGTTATCTGAGGGAGATCTGAGATGGGTTTGGTCATGTTGTGGCGCGCTGAAGATGGTGATTTCTCGACTGTAAAGTTTGGTTGAATTAGTGGTGGAAGTTTAATGTGATCTTTCAGTCGTGACGGATTTTGAGGATACGGCAGAAATATGTTTGATATGAGATGTTTAATGACCTTTTTTGTAGCATGAACTCGAAGAAGAGGTCGTCGTTTCAAAGTTTCAAATAGCTTTGCAAACTCGAACTATTTAATTATCAAAATGTTATGGCACGATGAATTCGAAATGGCATTCGAAGCACATCGCTTGTGACTGCACTTCAGCTAACTTTCATTGCAAGATCTGTCTAATCTGGCCTGATATTGGTCAGTTCATCAGCTCAGCAGGGAAACTGATATCGAAAAACACGACACAAGTCGAGTCGATTGATGCACGTCTTTCGATCTAATTGAATGCCGTCCTTGCCTTCACTCTGCGTTTTTACATTGCTGTCTGTCTTCAATGGCGTGGCCTGCGTCTTGTCATCTTTGCAACCAGATGCCGGGGTACATTTGTGACGCGCGTGGGGGCATTTGTGACGCGAATGGGACGCCACCTCCTTTTGAAAAACCAGACGCCTGCGATCGTCCAGTTGATCTCATATGACGGCCAGAAGGTCTGGTTGAGTTTTGGTCAGGACATGAGGTTCTCTGTGATCTGTCTCATGGTAATTGTGTTTAAATTAGTGCAATAATATTTGTGGTGGTCTGGAAATCTGCAGGCTGCGTCCAATGGCCGGTGCGATGTGTTTTATTTGGGAGCAGGATATTCGTTGATTGCAACCGATTGCAAGCACTAACAAAATTATGTATGGACATCATCCTACTCGTTACATGTCGAATTAGATTCATTACGGAAAGCTTAACAGTATTACATCGGTAAATATTTAAGCATTGGGAAAACACGTGCTCGGTAATCGGTCAAAATTGAACGTTTTAAGTACGGCATGTGTCTTGCGCCTTTCTGTTATGACAGCAGTAATTTATAGGCTGTCGCTACTGAAGCTGTTACTCGATTTTACCAGGAAATATTGCTCCGATGTCGATATCTTTTATTTATTTTGATTGCTTATTTATGTGATTCCACTACGCTGAATCAGTCGATTACATTTGAGTGCGTACAAGCCAATCAAAATTCGGCTAAAGGATGGACAACTTTCATAACCATTACGAGTCTCGGAGACAATATGCTCGCCATTGACGCATGTTCATTCCACTGTCACTGTTCGTGACGGGCCAGCCTGTCATGGCTGTCACAGACTGTCATCAAGTCAGACATTTATTAACAGGTGAATATTGATCGCTTCTCTAGCTATAGCTAGAAAAGCCGGAAAGCCAAGGTATACCTTGGCCTTTCGGCCCCAGGCTGAGATTGCCGTCCCCGTACTTTACCTACCGTCCGGGAGCTTTTGCCATTCCAGTACTTTATTTTGTCCTCCTTTCACATTATCCACTCATCTTGCTTATCTGTTCCGTCTTTCTGTCCATTTTCCATCCCGTCTCATTTTTGTCTCCCTTTTACCCTTCTTGTAATCGGTCTCCTTTCTCTCCTCTTGTCCTCTTTCTTTCTCTCTCTCTCTTTTCTTTCTCTTTCTCTTCCTCTTTCGTCGGTTCCTTCCGATTGGTCCTGTCTCATCCCCCGTTCCTCCGATGAGATATGGTAATGTCATTGAACGAATCGACAAATGGCGTGGCCGCGGAACCAGCACACGTCTCGAGAATGCCGACCACAACGGAACAAATCACGGCGCACCGGGCGCATTGTGGCGCATCGTGGCGTATTGTGGCGCTCTTGGACGGATTGTGGCGCGTTGGGTCTGATTGGAGCACGGGGGCGAATTGGAACAAGATATGGCGCACCGGGTTGACCTATGACACTGAGAGGTAAACGAACACGATGAGGGAATAATTGTATGCGATAATTTTCAATAACGTTTTCTGACCTGAGGAAATATCCATATCAATGTTCATAACTGATTTTGATGATTCCTGAACTTGTAGATAAATTGGATGAAGTTCAAATGCATGATAAAGCATTTACTTCGTTGACCCTGCCTATGGTCGCGGTTGGACCAAGAATGGTAGAAGTTTTTTTCACCGCGAGTGGGTACGTCCCAACGTGAATAACGTCGCTGTCTTCAGACATTTTTCTGTGAAGTAGCCGTCACTGTTAAAGGGACTATCCCACCTTTAACATGGGGTTTGAGTTGAGATAGCCAAGTTTGCGGCGAGGTTCAGAAACCACTATCTATCTAGGTTGCAACCCCCGCGGCCTCTTGGTGTTGAAGAAATTCGTTCCCTTCATTTGAAAATGGGCCTTGCGCAAGGCCCTATCTTCAACATGGAGCGACCGTTAGTGTGACGTCACCTCGTTTAGTCATTCTGATTTAAATGGGTTTGTTCGTTGAAAAATCGCTTAAAACTTGGTCTGAACTTTGTTGTGGTGCCTACAGAGTAAAAAGAATCAGCTTTATGGCAGTAATGTGGCCTGGGGAAGGAGGTAATTTTGGGCTGTGACGTCACATATTTGAAAGTTTGTGTTTGGAATATGGGAAGCCTAAGATGTTTAATGAAAAATAAATGCCAGAACCGTGTTCCTGGTCATCCAATCTATAAAGTCGGGCACAATTTAACTGGTTTTAACAACATTTTAGAAGGTGGGATAGTTCCTTTAACTGTAGAGTGTGGTGTGTTGCACTCTTGAATGCCTCCCACTTAACAAGCCCTGTGGAGAGGTTTGTAAACATCTGCCCATTTACTCGCTACCCGCTAGGAGTTATTGTGTCTGCCAAAGTCGACAGACACTGTGGGCTGCTACATGGGGTAGCTTCCAAAAGTATCGTACCAAGAGACGTTGTAGTCGAATTTTCGCTGGTGACGCAAGGTGTTATTTGTTTACTTCAGCTTTCACTGCTGTTATGGTTCAAGTGTTTTATATGAACTTAATTTGAAGTTGGCTGGCGAATAACGCATTGCTGGCAAAGTGTTCTAGAAATTATGCAGGAACTTTGCAGAAAGTAGGTATGTTCTTATTTCACGCTAAGGTGTCTGATGCATCACTAAATCCCTGTTATTTTTCCCACTTTGATTATGAAAGATTCACAAAGAATTGCTAAACTTTGACAAAAAGCTGAGGCTCAAAAACTGAAAGTGCTGTCGAGCACCCATCATGATACTCTGCTGCGAAGCCCCATCACTTCAAACTTACCCTAATCCCCAGTACCATTTTCATCCAGTTCTAGCTGGATATCTCGTCGCCTAACTCCTCCTGGCTTCGGGCATGCCCATCCTCTTACCGTTTTGTTTACACCTCGTCTGGACTTCGTCTGTCGTCACCTATGTAGACGCCCTGCGACCCGCTACTCCCCAAGGGGCGTTTTTCGGTCTGGCGTCGTTTGATCGGCATCGTTTGGTCCACGTCTTTCGTCGCCGTCCTTTCGTCGGTGTCTTTTCAGTCGTCTTTTTCAGTCGTCTCTGGGGGATGGTGGTGTGGACTGCGTGTTGAGTGGACGTCACTTCTGGTCTGTGTTTCAAATTTGAAATCCTGGGTGTAGGTCTTTCAGAATGGTTCATCAGACTCACGAAGGCCGGCGTGCTACGCTTGATTCGTGTACGTGCGAGACAGTTTGGTGCCACTTGTGCAGCTGTGCACTGTGCAGCTGTGCCTATACTCTTTTCTGACACTTATCTCACTTATTCGAGTCACTTTATCTAAATTTATTTATTTTCGCTTTTTAGCCATAGCACTGAACTGCAGTCATAATGTTATGTAGTCACCTTTGCAGCGCCTTCGCGTCATCATGCATGTAGCCAGACCTAAACGCTCTAACTGTCCCTCCCTCTTGCCATTTCAGTTCTGTCGACGGAAAACCGGTGTTCGCTCGGACTCCACGCCCTAACTGTCCTTCCCTCTTGCCATTTCAGTTCTGTCCACGGACAGCCGGTGTTCGCTCGGACTAATGCGTTCCTGACCGGCCCTTTTCCCTTTTGTTTCAGTTCTCTCCACGGACAGCCGGTGCTCGCACCTGCAGGAGCTGGTGCGGAAGGCGCAGCGGAGGGTCGACATGCTTACCAGCTACGTCTCCAGCACCAACGGTGGCAAGGAGTCGGAGAAGCAGCGGACCCTGTGGCAGAGGCGCCTCAAGCTGCTCAACAGGATGAAAGTCGGCTTCGATCAGACGCGTGAGTGTACACTCGGTGGTGGGAGTTAGAGTGAGGGTTAGGGAGTTGATAAGGAGTTAAGTGGTGGCAAATACTAAATGCTAGCTGGTTTTCATCGGTAAGAGTTTGAGGCTGGCCGCTGGGCTGGAGCTTGTGATGAATGTTGAGCGCTGGCGGCTACATACAGGGTCTTTCATAATGAATGTTGCTTTTGAACATTTAGTTAGGAGCTCTTAATTTATCACTTTCGCGTGAATTTTATATGCGTATTGTTGCAAATTGATTAGGATTTTGTCCCAAAAAAATAAAAAATTCACAACGCCAATTTTCCTTCGCGGAAAAGCAGAGTATGTCGACAACACTAAAACGTATTACGGATTACGGTCGACGGACAAGTCTTCATCCATTGGCTCTCCCCTGCGTCAACACTGAACGGGGTGGCTTACCTCAGGCTGCTCAAGGAATGCTTCTGCCTCAGGTCAGGGACAAGGTTCAAAGAGACGACCTGTGGTTCCAGCAGGATGGTGCCACAGTGCGCACCACGGCAGCTGTTGCGCCAGTGGCTGATCGAGAATTTCGAAGAGCGCGTTATCAGCCGCCTCACCGAGCGACCATGGCCACCACGGGGTCCTGACCTCTCCCCGCTGGACTACTGGTTTTGGGGAGTCGCATTGGCAGATCTGAGACAAAACCCTCCTGCAGCCATCCACTGCGAACCACAGTGGAGAGGTTTGCTGGAAGCCTGGACCCAGACGTTGTGAGGCGCGGGGTGCGACACCTTCGTCAGAGGGCCGAAACCTGTGCCTTAATTAAGGGCGATACAGTGGAAAATTCCTGAGGAGCATTAAAATGAAAGTTGTGTGTGCAAAAACGCTAATGTGTTTCTGTTTCATGTGATGGTACATATTACATGAGGAACATATATGTCCTGAGAAATAGCTCTTTCAAAAGTAACATTCATTATGAAAGACCCTGTAGGTAGTATTTTTCTTACATTCTAACGAATTCACCTGGGAGAATCTCGTAGACTAACGAGCTTCTTGGAGAAGCTCTCGTTTGAAGCAAACTCAACCTTGACTGATTGCGTACACTCAGTACAACTTTTCGTAGTAGTGTTGACCTGAGCCTGGGCGCGTTCACGTAGACTAACGCCCATGTGCGCTCATCTGTCCAGCGTAGGCAAGCGGCAGGCAGTCACTCGGCGAACCGTTTCCATTCAGTCGGCCGCAGGCGAGTTCAATTTGTCGGAGTTCGTCTCAAACGCTGCGCTGACCGCTCCAGGGCGTTCCGTATCGAACGGCTCAGGTCGTCAGCGGAGACCCACGAGGCCGCTCTGTTGAGACGCTGGGTGAATGGGGAATTTCCTCAGGGGAGTCGTTACCCTCCGGTGTGTTGACCGGGTGGTGGACGTACTGTTTGCTGTCCTCTTCTAAATTACCCCAATTGAGCCGGCTGCCGATGTTTTTGTTCGGGAGAAACCGTCCAGTGATGGAGTCGAGAGAGGTAGCCACTCGAATGGCTGTTTAAATTTTCGTCGGATAGCCGGTGCGACGGCAGAAAAGAATACCAAGGAAGGAAATGTTTTGATCGAGGTTGGTCTGAGATACTGCATCGTTTCGTAGATAGATGCGACAGTATATCGTCTTTGGGGGATAATGGATGGTCATTCTATCGGCGTTTTTTTTTTCTTTTTCATTCGCGGAGTTATTACATTCTGTCGTTAGACCATTCGCCATTGATTGCATGGTGGGTTTGCTCGCATGCTGCTATTTGGGTGAAGTGTTGTTGTGCGTTGTGCACAGCGCAGAAGCTTGATTTATGGAATTTGTTTGTTTTGTTTTTGTTTTGTTTTGTTGGGTTAGGCCCTTTCGGTCCAATGAGACCATTTCAGAGCCGGGAGGATGATAGGATGTAGGGGGAGACATTGGTCTGGGCAGGCACCCTAGTGAGTCGCCGGGGCTGAGCCCGTCCAGAGGACAGGCCACCCAGCCCCAAGACACTCACTGCACCCGGCTACGGGGTGCGCTCCCTCGGGAGCAGCGGTGCCGCTCCAAGGGAGCAGCCCGCATGAGATAAAGTTGCCTGTCCAGCCCGGAGGGGGGTTGCGGCGTGGAGGACAAGGATTTCAGTATCCTGAGGATAGAAGCACGGAACGGTGATTTATCGAATATCGACGTGTAGCTTATTGTGAAATGTGAATTGACTTTGAATTCCATTGACATCTAGAAATGCAGCCTGTATGGGTTGTCAACCTTGGTCATGCATGGTATATCACTCTCAAAATACCTTTTCAGGGCAGAACTTTGTGCAGCTTGCAAAGACACCTGTATTTTAGTGCACCGAACAAGTCATTGTGTGACATGACGCGTCATGACCTGTGCGACATGAAGTGACCCCTGGTAACCTGACCTCCCTGTTCTATCCACAGGCCCTCCTGACCCCCCAGCTCGCGTCACAGTAGAGGTCACGGGTCCCCAAGAGGTCAGACTGCGTCTCGATGAACCCGATTGTCAGCATCAGGCCATCTGCACCAAGTACAAAGGTTAGTGGTGGGCAGGCGCCGCCAGAAGTACGCAGTTTAGTGGTGGGCATGCGGCACCAAGTACAAAGGTTAGTGGTGGGCAGGCGCCGCCAGAAATACACAGTTTAGTGGTGGGCAGGCGGCACCAAGTACAAAGGTTAGTGATGGGCAGGCGCCGCCAGAAGTACACAGTTTAGTGACGGGCAAATGAGGTGGTACTGAAATGGTCCAGACGGGAGTGCTCGGGCCTCCATGTCACGAGACAGATACTGTGAAAATAAATAGTGAGCGTTCGTTGGCTGGAGGGTTAGATCGGCAGCCCGCAGCCCAGTTTGGTGCTTTTGGGCCGGGTCGGGCCGCTCATACTGATATTTTTCCGATTATTAAATAGACTCGCTTCGCGCTCGCTCGTAACAACACATAGTTTACAGATGATTTCCGCGTAACTCCTTGTCAAGTTTTACCGAATCTTCAAGCAAGCTACCACGAAAAAAAAATCGAGCCTTTCGTAGACTTAGAATGAGAAAGTAGTTGTTGATGTAGCTCGTGCTGTCAGACCCATGTTATTCCCGTCGACAGCACCCTCTTGTTCGTCATCAGGTTGTCTCAGAGCTCAAGCAGGCGTAATGTTTAGGCAGCGGTGAGGAATAGCATACGCCCCAGGGACGCGAGGCACGTCGTTTTGACTCCACTGCCCTAGATTTTGGCTTAGTGCTCAGACGACAACACAAAATAGACAAGTAGGCATATGTCGCATTTTTAGTTATAGTTACTGTGTTACAATGTGGGCTTGCCTTTTTCAAGCTGACTCGCAAATAGAACGCACAACGCGTTCGAAATGAATGGGTTTCGCTACGCAAGTATTCGAGCTATTACCGCTATAATCATGCGTGTCGAAACCATAAACATCGACTGAGCGAATAAAATTGGTGGGTTTTAGATACAGACTTCCGAAATGTGTTGTTCACGTCATCGATTAAACAGAATAGATATGGTTCGTTCACTTCTGATTGTGTTGTTTCACGTTTTATTATAGCGATTTACCATATCGGCTTTGAAAGGTTGAGGCTATTTGGTCGAATCGTCGATGATGTTTTTACTGCTTTGTTGCATAAATATCTTGTTTTTTTTTGTGGAACTGACATTTAAAAAGAACGTCATAGCCTAGCGTTCAGCTACTGCAGTGTTGTTCTTAGCGTACGCTTTATCATTTAAATGATCGCGAAAAATGTCACGCTGCTATTGTAATAGCAGAAACGAACTTCGCATAAATGAAATGCATACCAAAATAAATAATTCATTAAAGGTTAAACTTCCCGATTTGCAGCTTAGTCACTGTTTTAATGCACGTGTATATTTATTTCTAGAATGTCCTGCTTTTGTTCGCGTCCTCACTAACCTTTCTATCCCCTCACCGCCTCCCCCACTTACTAACGCCTCCCCCTTCTCCCCCACAGTCCAATGGTCGACATCTGCCGACTTCAGTAGCGTTGCCGGTGAGCGTGATGTCACTGACCTGGTACCGCCACCCGAGCTACCCGTGAGACAGCTCACCCAGGGGCGACGCTACTTCTTCCGCGCGGCGGCCGGCAACTTCTGTGGCTGGAGCCGCTTCGTCAGCTCGAGTCCGGCCGGCGTCCTGCCCTCAGGTGGGTATCAGGGGCATGGTGCTGCAGCCCGCAGGTTGGTGGGGAAGGGGTGCTTGGGATAAGTGGTTGTTGCCATCATGCGAATGACGGATGTATAATGTTGATGCCCAATGACAATATTTTTACGGTAATGTCGTTGTTATTTTGATGTTACTGGATATTTACATTTTGGACTAGGTGGCTCTTTTCTAGCGGAAGTCGTACTGTTAAATGGCTTGAATGGAGAAAGAAACACTCCATTTACTCTCAAATGGGCGTTTAATGGACGCGGAAGCTACTTTGGATGAGTGATGAGACCTCTCCTTCCTCGCGTTTTGTGTATCTGGGGTACTTATTAACATATTAGTAAAGTGGCTAGGTTCTAATGCATCCTGACAGCGCAATACATTGCTCCTTTTTCATGAACAGACCCGATATCTCCTGGTAAAGGTTATGTAAAAACGGGACTTATCGAAACGAAGGATTGCACGAGATTTGTCCCCCGGGTTTCCGCACTTTGCTTCTACGTTTTCTTGCGGTTCAGTTACACGATAAGACCTACGGCAGGAAGTGCTCGGCAGAGCTGTCTGTTCTTCGGTTTGTGATATCCGGCGAAGGTTTTCTGGGACACAACTGTTGACCTTTGTGTGCTCGATAATGCCAGCCTTCCTGAAGAGTCGCGGCGAAAGACAGTACGCCAAACTGAATCTAATTTTGTCTCGTAGTTTTGTTATTGCTTGTTCACTGTTCTCGTTTAGAGGAGCTGCGGTTTCGAAGTTATTGCCATGGCAAAAGGTGGATTTATCTTATCCATACAAGTTATGTGACCGCTTTCTAACAGAGCTAGGACATTTAATAGCTTACAACTCTATGGAAACATGTGAAATTTGCCGGCTGCTGTGAAGCAATAATGTTTAGAGGCGAATATTAAATTACATTCCGTGGCTCCAATGTGGTATCCGGTTATGCCGCAAACTGCGATTTAACCGCTTTGCTTTATGGTTGCAGATGCCCCACGTTGTTCTCAATTTATCGCATTACTTGTTCTGCTCATGTCTTAGTTTTACAGCACAAATAAACGGTGGGTACTTTAAGGTCAGTAGACATAAGTTTATTGAAGATCTTCTTTTTCTTTGAGGAGACGTCGGGAGATGAGACATCTACGTGTCTCTTTCCCTTGGTCGATCCTAAGTTGCCTTTGTTGTGCGTGTCTAAGACCCGTGCGTTCGCTTGTGATTCTTACGTAGTGTTCGTTCTTTCACGCCTGTCATCACGGGTGTAAAAGAAGTGTAACGAACCGTCACGCTACACACGTCCTCTGGTTCGTGAAAATTCACCGTCATTACAGTTTCGCACTGGCTACAAGTGCGGTAATTTTAACACGAGCCGTTACACTTCGTTACCCGCCGCGTAGTCGCCAATGAGCCGGTAAATTTGCCGGGAAGTGTGAACCTCGTTCACTGACGGTGACGCTGATGTAACTGAGCATGACGAGGATCTGTGGGTTGCGTTTGAGAGATTCAGGTGCCCTTCGGCTAGCGTTTACGATATATCAGCGCTACGTCTTGAACCAACGCTATTTTCTTAAAAGCAAATTAGCGGCATAAATATCGCGATGTGTCGATTGTTTGATTCATTTTGCGAGTTGTCACTGCCAGACTTTTTTATCCCGCATACAAGTCATTCGCGTTTTGTTCGCGATCATTGTGTTCATTTCTTTTCGTTATAATTTGATGCTACAAAACCGAGGGACGCCCTTGGCCGGTATTCTGTTACAAAAAAAAAAACAAACGGAGATAATTTGTTGAATGCGACACGAAATGTTTCGCCCAGGGTTTCGCCATAGTGTGCTTGTGCAGGCCGCAGGGTGTTATAAAATGGAAATTTAAGTCAATGCCGTGCAAACACCTTTGCATCTTTGGTGGTTTTAGCTCACCAGGGAACGACAAACACTGAACATGCTCCTCGTTCTGGTGTAGACCGCTAAATTGAGGTTCTCTTCGAACTCCCATTGCCCGCTGTTATCCTTACCACTGGAGTGTTGTGACGGAAACATTTCATGAATCTCGATAAGGTTCGCTCTGCTGCCATGGTGCCCCGTTCGTTACTGTGGTCGATTTTATCAAGCAGAGAAGGCGGATTATGCCCAATGTATGCTACAGTCAGATTAAACAAACTCTTTTACCATGACGTCTCATTTGAAGCAGAAATGTGTTTTATTTGCTTTTGACATTAGATTGACGCTTGTATTCCAAAACAGTCGCAAAAACGTCATGCTTTCAACATTCCAACATTAAGTTCAGCAGAGCCACTCCAGCCAGACATTTATTCCACCAAAAATTCCCCAAGACGAGCATGCTAGATTTGCGTTGAGTGTGTGCTCTTTTGTGCTCGACTTTTAATCCATCAAGCGAGACCAACTGAAAAGCCTTCTTGGAACAGCGGAGTCGGATGCATAGCATCTCCATCGATATGGACAGATGAGGTCGTCCATGGGCCGATGTGGTCAGTAAAATAGCCCATTTAGCGGGTATACCGCCCGCATGGGTATCAAGTAACCGGGTTATTGCAGCGCATTGAACACGATCAGCATTGTTGAGTGGGTGTTTGAAGCCCACGCGCCCTTCAAGCTGTTGTATGTCTGCTGAACGGATATTGCTCAGCTCTGAAGGGTAAATGTGCCTAAATTTGACTCACTGCTTAGTATTTGGAATCGATGACTTATCAAAGTTTTATCGGGCACAGGAATAGAACAATTTGGTTGTGTTCCAGACACAGTGGATTTTAATGAGTTAGAAGTCTCAGCTTATGAGTCTTAAGTCTTAGTTTATGTTTGATGTGAACCATTCCAGGACCTAATTCCATGTTGTTCGTGAGAAGCATAGGTGATAATGCAGAACAGACCACTTATTTTAACTTAGATGGATCAATAGCTCTAATAAGAAGTGTTGCCCCTGCTGCCTGCCTTCGTTCATAAATGCAGAAACCGTTCTCGGTCTCACTATTGATTCATCTGCCTCGATCTGTCCACTTTTTGACACTTTTGCTACAAGTCTGGCATAGTAAACTCATCGAATAGCAATCACAAAGATCTGTCAAAAATCGCGTCAGTCAGGCGCCCCAGCTATGATCACACTCCTGTCGTATCAAGCAAGTATTCTATGACATGAGCGTGAGCGACCTCAGTATTGGGTAGGGGGCGGAACGGGCCTGGTTGGCCTCTTGCATCAGCGGGTCCTCGTTGATGTATCGACATGTTGTTTGTGCTGTGGCTCGTGCTGGAGCAGAGGTGGATGGGGTGGGCTGAGCTGGTTCCTGGGATCGTCGAGTTGCATCAGGACTGCAACGTGACTGGACGAAGAAAAAACGTTGTTGGTACTGGTAGAGGGAAGATTGATTTAGGCCACTTATCCATGTTTCTATCTATTATGACAGCCGTTCGTAGGGGATTTTAGCTGAAGGTGGTGATGTAGCAAGTTTCATACTTCGAATGGGCACAAGTGGGGTTTGGAACGAGGCCATTTTTACTTAAAAAGAAAAATGAATTAGTTATTTTAGTTTTGGAGCCATGAGCTAAGCTTCTTGTAAAGAACAAACAAGCCGAACCAAATGTTAAACAATGACATTTCTCTGGTAGATCTTCCGAAAGCCAAACAAACACATGTCTATCATCTTCTAACTGTGGTTTCTCTCTCCTTTCCAGTATGGAGGGACGCCGACCAGCGTGTGTCCCGACTGAGCGGAAAAGTGGCAGCTCTAGACCGGCTGTTTACTCAGATCCGTGACTCCCGGCCCCAGTACGCCAGTGACCTCAGGAACCTGGACGGCCAGAGCGAGTCACCTATGGCGCGGAAGAACATCAAGAAGAAGAGTATCAAGAACCTCTTCCAGACGGCCATCAAGTTCCAGAAACATCTCAGAAGGTGAGAATCAGCATGTACCATTTAGGAACACGCAAATTCTTGAAAATCAAAGAAAAGATAATAACAATAAAAAGTAGGTAAATGGTTAGAGAATGGTTTCCATGAATTATTTCCGAGCATTGATTTTATTTATCCCCGTTCTTTTGCTCTCTCCTCAACGTTTCTAAGTTTTTTTTGTCATCTATTGCCCAATGCCTTTGTTATCAAATAATCACACTACCATGAAAATGGACGAAGGTTTATTTGTCAAAATGTGCGGGGACGCTTTCGGTTTATTGTGACAGCTTTGCGGACTGCGTACTCCAAAGTAATCTCAGTCTGTCAAGTGGCTGATGCATTTCCCACTCTAAATGTTACCAGCGCGACAATTGAGCACGTGCTATTTATTTCCTTCGACTTAGCTGCCGAAATAAAATTTATAGCCTCTCTAAACGTGGCGCAATTCATTCAGGACAACCCTAGAACGGAAATGAATCGTATTTTTCGAATCAACAGTTGCTGATGAAACACGGGGACACATTGTGACCCCTGCCACCACTGGCATGACCCTGCAGTCTCCTACAAACACTCGCGTCTTGGAGGGTTTGCAGGGTCGTCCTCTGGGACCAGTTTCACTCTACGGCATGGTTTTATAGCGCTCATTGCAGAGACGACATGGCCCGAACAGGACCGCGGGGAATACGCCCTAGCAAATGGCTGCTGGGGGCGACCGAGCCACCCCGTTTGTGAAGGGAAAAGCTGAACGAACCAAGTACATTTTTGTCTAATTTGTCACAGGCATGGGCTATTTTTTAGGTTGGGGACATCGGTCGTCTTTTCGCTATGATTTCTGAGTGACTGATGGCATGCTAGCTTTCAAGCTTTATTTGGCTATGTTGAATGAGGACAATCTCTTAACCCTATTAGTGGCAGGGGGTTGTTTTTATCCACCCCTCAGGTTTTTCGGGAATATCTCCGAAACCGCTGAAGCTACGATGCTGAATTTTTCTGACTTTTCCTAAAACTAAATTGGGCACATTCCCTGAAAATTTCAAGTTCATAACTTTACCAGGGGCGGCTCCAGAGCACTGGGAATTGGGAGGTCCTATTCGTGAAGCGAGTCATTTGGGCGAAGATCACGATGCTGCACCAGTTTTACGAACAGTGAATAAAAGGTATCATGTGATAACATATACAGTTATTGTGCATCCTCTTTTGACACGTTTTTGCTATAATAGGCGGATCCAGGCGTCCAAAAAGGGGGGTTATGTTTTACCTCCCAACATAGGTGCCCTGACACCGCCTATGCATTACCAATACAATTTTAGTCGTTCTCTCATAAGAAAATTATAACATAACAAGACCATTACCACCCTTTTTAGAAACAGTACCAACAAAAACCTTATTTACTATACTTTTTGTGTACCCCCAATCTCAATGATCTGTATCCGCCTATGATTTTTGAAAATGCATATTTTTAGGATCCATGTGAATTCCTGGTTCATTCTCTATCGATCGGCAAAAGTTGCGTTAAGATTGGTTCAGAAACCTGGCCGTGATAAACAGTCTAAAATGTATCTGCAATTTGCCCGTTTTTACCCCCCTCTACCCCCCCCCCTATTGACATTTTTAATTTTTATTTTTTAGAAATGTAGATCACGTTGAGCGAAATCGAATGCCGTTCGAATTTTGAAAATCGGCCCGTTAGATCTCGAGATATCAAGGGGGGGTCGTAAACAGCCCCCCCCTGCCACTAATAGGGGGTAGCCAGGAGCCTGCCACTATAGTTCGTTTTTTTTTTTCAAAAGGACGCTGGCTCCAAGTATGCTTTTCGAACAAGCACGTGTTTTAGCGAGCAAAACGAGCAAAAACTGAACCTGAGAAAATCGAACGTCGACTAATTTTAACATGTGATTTCTTCCCCATAATTTCCATATGTACGTTTTGGAACCAGATATGAGAACAGTGGTGACGTAATGCTGTCAAACATGTATTGCAATGTACCGTATAACTATCATGGACGGAACCGCTTACTCGATTATAAGCTCGGCAACAGTGAAAAACCAAATTCTTTGACACTTGTCCCATTGCACGGACATTTGGGTGCCTGCTGCCACCAGTGACGTCATCATAGTAGGTTCATTTTTAAGAAACAATTTCCAGCTATTTACCGTGCAAAATTTGAAATCGATTATTTTTTCGGTAAGAAATTCTTGGCCAGACACTGAAGCTGCCAAAACTCACGTGAGAGCTTCGATATTGAACTTTGAGCCAGCGTCCTTTTGAAAAAAAAAACGAACTATAATAGGGTTAATCAGTTGCACTAGGTTTGCCATAATTCCTTTCATCACAAGTTTCAGATTGCTTTTCAATGATGCAGCCTCATTCAACATACCCTGGTAGCGAGCGTGATTTTGACTGGCTTTCTTATCTTGCAGCGGCGTGTACCTGGCCAGCGTCATCTACCACGAGGACCGTGTTGCCATGACAACCGAGGACTTTCTACCGGTCCTGGAAGTGGATGAGTCCTACCCGAGCTCCATTCACGCCGACTTTCATTGGCTCATGAAGGTGAGAAAATAAAAGCGAAGACGGTAGAATCTTATTACCGTTCGAGAATATCATTCAAAATTTGTATTCTTATCTTCTATGCTTCTCAGCTCAACCATAACGTCACAACTAAACTTGATTATGATAGTCCCTCGTACCGTGATATTCTAATTCAATGACGTATTGGCGTTTATGAAACATAATCATCATAAACGATCATCTGCTGACAGACGATTAGCTTCAACGTTTAAAAGCTCCTCTCTAAATCGTACGTTCCTTATCTAGACGCGGCACCTTTTAAGAGACGGGTCAACGCTATATGCTGTTTACTTTGGACGTGTTATGGTTTTTAACCAGTCGAGTAGGCGTAGAGTAAACGGAGGGCGCTACAGCATGATATCATAGGGTCGCTGACCTGTCAGGCGGCTTTCATTGTGATGATATGAGTCAGAAGATCTGACCCAAAACTTGTGTTTGTTTGGAGACATATATGTATCTCTCCGAATCATGGATGGTAAAAAAGGCACTTTCAAATGGCATAAGCACATGCTTAACCTCCAAAAGTACAGTCCACAGCAGAAGTAATGTACGGTTTCAGTCATGGGTATGTTCTACTTCTGAAGCTTAGGAACGATTAGCCAAACTACAATGAAACTTTGAATTTAGCTTACATGTATCGTTAACCTTGCAGCTGCAACTTTATTTCTGGCGTCTTCTTTTCGATCACTCTGCATTAAAAAAATCGCCATTCAAAGCCATCCGTTGAGATTGGTGAAACCGCACATTACTTTAGCGGTGGGCTGTACTTTCATGAAATCGGACAAAGTCTGCAGGAACAGCTCAGGGTTATGTCTAGTGACCAAGCTTAACACCCGGGCGTTAAATGAGCTGACTGGAATGCGATTTGACAGGGCCGTGGCCTAACTTGATCTTACAGTACCATGATCTGATCGTGACATGACCTGACTATGACCTGGCTATGACCTAGCTTTGACCTAACCGTGACCCTGTGACCGGTCAGGTGGCCTGCACGTGGGACGACGTCCGCTCGCTGCGCCAGGACATGGAGAGATCTCTGAGCTCCTCGTCGGTCCACTTCCGCATCAAACTGCTGGCCGCCGCCGAGCAGCTGCAGGTTGGTGCTGTCTGATGATTGGCTGGGACGGGAGGGGATGGGTGTAAGGGCAATGGTTATTGGCTGGCGCCATGTGGGATGGGCGTTATGCTGGGAATGATTGGCTGACAGAGTGGGGAGATGAGTGTAACTAATGATGATTGACTGAAATGGAAGGGGATGGGTGTAAAGCGAAAGTTGATTGGCTGAGACGGTATGGGGTTATGACGAGTTCGATGATTTGCAAACAAAATATAGAAACTATAGCAATTGGTCTAATAACGACAGTCATTGGTGGGTTATTATTCTAAAACAATGTTAAATGGCCGTCATCTTGGTGTTCTTTAGGATTGTGACTCAATGTACTCGTACACAGGTATGGATAGTTAGTCGTTCATATAATTATTCAACACAAACGATTTAATTACGATACACCCCTTCGCCCTAAGCTCTAACATCCTGTCTCTGCCTCTCTACAGTCGGCTCTGGGTGTCCAGGACCTGGGTCAGCTGTACTTCAAACCGCTGCGGGACTCCCACGGCACCCTGGTGTTCGTCGTCATCTACCACATGAGGTCAGTGAAGGAGATGGAGATTTGGAGGGAGATGAAGTGCCCCACTGTGTATGTCGTGTGAAATAGACAGTAGACACTAAAAGCGACGAATGCTGAGGAAGTTTGTATCATGTATGTGAATAAACTAAACATACCAAAGTATAGGACGTTAATGATTCTGGTATGCTTTAGCGGTACCGCACTTAAGGTAGCGGTGTTTGCATAGCTATCGTAGCAGAATAAGCTAGACTCAATATCCGTGGTTAAATAAACCAAATCATTGAGCGGTGAGCCACTATCGCTTTGAAGCGTCGCTGATAGCCGTATCATTGTTGCTTTTACGCACTGGTACCCATTAGACACAAGGCAAACAAGGAAAGATTCATCAGTAGTAGGATTGTTTTAGGTGACGCTTTAGAAGCAGGTCAAAATAATTAAGTGTACCCGTGGATTAATATGGTCAGATAGCAGGAATTTACAAATCAAAACAGCGTATCGTAATTTTTGTTTTCACGTCATTCCACATTTAGATTTCATATAACATCGTCAGTCGTCACACTCTATCTGAAAAGTGTTCTCACTGGCTCTGCTTCATCGCCCCCATAGTGTAGGTATTCACCGTAGCCCTAATCGCCTAACCATTCACACTATCACTCCTCTCCGCCAGGTCGGGCAAGCTTCCGTCGGCCTCCGTAAGGTGGCAGCAGGTGAACAAGCTGCAGCGAAAGGTCTCCACGTCTGAGGAAGAGCCAACTGTCGGCGAGAGTCTCATCTCTGAGATCAAGGTGAGACGACAGAGGCATCTGGTGGTGTGATTCGGTGTCGTGGATAGGTAGGGGGGTGAGTGGGGGTCTTTCCGCTGGCGATTAGATGCGAGAAATCTCAGGCTGGGAAAACCAACTTAGTGTCTGGCACACAACAAATCGACACCTTTTTTTAAACCCCACATTTGTTCTCCGGTGAATTTCAGACAAGTTGGTTAGAGACCTTCAAAAATGGTACAGTCACTCGATTTTTCTCAAGTTTGTCTGTCTTGGCAGATAAAGCAATACCAGAACCGGCCTACGAACACACATATTTGATCAGGATCGGACGATTGGACACTTTTAAAAGGAGATCTTTCGTGCCTCCCGAAAATTCACGGGAGAGCAGATGTGGGGTTTAAAAAAAAGGTGTCGAAATATGTTCAACGCAATGCCTCTGCGCGAATTCATCGCTGTTGGTGTTGATGTGTCTGAGCAAAAGCTGAGGTACCCTATAACTAGGGCTATGATTGCAGGATGAGCTACCTTCCAAAGTAGTTCGCTCATTTTGGTCTAAGCGCTAAATTCATTCAAAATAGCGAACCTCGAAATGCAAATAACGACGGTGACTCTTCTCTTCATTTTCTTAACATTAAAACTTGTAGCACACTGACAACCCCTTATCCCTCCCTCAGGACATCATCACGTACCACATGGTCTCCTCTGTGGGCGTGTCTCGCGGCCTCTACCTCGGCTACCTGCAGTGTCAGACATCAGTCGACATCATACGGGTCAGCGTGTCCAAGGACAAGCCGAACGTCCTGCCGCACGTGCGCGTCAGAGACAACCCGCACGTCAGCAGGTGAGTCGGTGGATGTGCTGGAATACGTGGGGAGATTTAGTGGTGAGTTAGTGAAAGAGTTAGTGGAAGGTGAAGAGGCATGTTTGTACGGGAGCTCAGTCTGGTTGTTACTGATAAATGTGGATGCCAAACAGATCGATGATAGAAGTATAAGTAAGTGGTGTACTTATTGAAATATCTTTGTATTATTTTTGCCAAGGCTCAATACATCCAAGGAGTGAATATATTGTGATCACTTTCCTATTCTTGTTGTGCAAGTATATCGTTCCTAAATTGATAAATATAAACGTTCCTAATAAACGTATAAAAAAATTGATTGACATCTACTGCTATCTATGTAATCGCTCAACTCATCTTACTCAGGTCGTCATGCAGGTACAGTCCACAGCAGAAGTAATGTGGGGTTTCAGTCATGGGTATGATCTGCTTCTGAAGCTTAGGAACGATTAACCAGACTACAATGAAACTTTGAATGTAGCTTATATGTATCGTCACCCTTGCAGCTGCAACTTTAGCTATTGACATCTTCTTTTCGATCACTCCGCATTAAACAATCGCCAGTCAAAGCCAACCGTTGAGATTGGTAAAACCCTACATTACTCTAGCGGTGGGCTGTACCTCTCGCATGTTTGACTCTCGCATTTTAACACTCTCAATTGACTAGCATTTGCTGTCTATGGCACAGTGGTAACCCAGCGTTTCTGTGGTATCTCCTCAGCGAGGAGTGGGAGTGGCTCCAGGAGAGCTCCTCCTACCGGCCGCCGACCTCCGAGGAGGACGGTGACGTCACACCCGGCGTGACGTCATCCAGTCAGAGTGTGACGTCACGCTTCAGGACCCAGGTGGAGACAGCGGTGCGGCGGCTGCTCAAACTGATGGACGTCCCCGCGGAGCAAGCGGCCAACCACAGGTGAGGAAGGCGGGTGGGCAGCCAATCAGGGGAGGGGAGAATGGGGAGTGACCAATCGATGATGAGAAGGGCTGGCAGTCAGCCTATAACAGACTAGGGCTCTGGGCTGATGGCTTGTTTGAGGCAAGGTAATACAGTAGAGAATGATTTGCCGCCGGACGGGATGTGGAGGAATCATGGCGTGCGCTAGTGCTAAGCACCTCAGACCCGAGTTCAAGGTTGCAACCAGCCACAAACATAATTACGAAAGGTATTACACAAATATCGGGTTTGAGTCGCTGATGTTCTGCATTAAATTAGCGGTACATAGGCTGGAAGTCTTTTTGTTTTCTTGCCTAATGATATATTTTACACGTCCATCCGCATACTTGTTATATCCGATCAAAAATAAGATCCTTACGCGCCTGAACCAATCATCTAACTGTCTGCTCTCCTTTGGCAGGCTGTACAACGCCGAGGTGCTGGAGCTGAACGGCACCACCAGTTTCCTGCTGCTGGTACCCGCTGCCGATCAGGTGTGCTCGATCAAACAGACGGAGGAGCTGACGGCGCCCAACGACTGCCTCCGGCTGCCCGTCCAGGTACATACATGGTCAGAGATGAGTGGATGTGTTGGAATGGTGATGGTGATGTGCCAATGTTTTATCGTATGTTTAATACTAATTGTATAATATTAATTGTATAAGGTATAATGTAGGTACTGTCTATCATAGGGAGGTTTGGTACTTAATGTCTTGGGTGCTTTCTGCGCCAGTACATCATAGGGCTAGACAGGGGAGCTTCTCCCACGTAGACATGCTTGGCAGCTGGCATCGCCTACGCTGTCGGTATCCTCACTGCGGTACTGCCATTCGTTACGGTGTCGCTTGTTTACTTTTCTCACTGCGCTGTCGCTCACATAGACTCCGGTGTTGTCAGATTTTCGAGATGGTACACATGATGACCTACCAGCGCTCGTTTGTGAGCCGCTACAGTCGCATCAGCTCCATCCTGGAGACGGACACCATCATGGCGCAGCACGCTCACAGAGAGGTACGAACATGCGCCGTAATTGTAGACTCGTGAAGGGTTCTAAATATGACTGAGATGTGTGACATTTGGAGGTTCTGCCTCAGTAATTTAGCATCACATCACACTGTCTTCCAATAATATCAGCAATAATCTCGGTTGCATTTGTTTTCTAAATAGTTACAATTCACTTGTATCGTTCCCTATAGTATGCTGGAAAATGCCGTGGCCTGAAATGAAGTTATCGAAGTTTATCCTCAACGCATCCTTCTCTCAGTACTGGGCGTTGTCTTGTGGGCACTGTCTGCAACTTTTGTCTACGAATTGTGTACTTTTGGGGTTGGTATGAAACTATCCCAGATGACATTCTAGACGCTGACTACCCCCTCCTCTCCACCAGGCATTCAGTGACGCCGAAATCAGCGAGGCGCGGGGCCGTCTCTCGCAGCTGCAGACCTTCCAGACCGAACTGGAGGGTGTGTGGAGGACCTCCCGCTGGCTCACAGACGCCATCGCTTGGGCCAGGGATAAGACGCAGGTACGGAACGCGGGGGAGGTGGCATGGGAGTTACGGCCTTGGCGTTGAGGGAAAGGTAGAAGGAAGCCAATGTGCGATGTTGGATTGCTTGCGGGAGATTTGTTATGGTTACAGATGTTCTAAAGATTTGCCGAATGGCTCGTTCAGGTGTTCAATAAGCTTCTGCTTCTTGGACTACAAAGTAAAAATTACTCAAAAGTACGCAGGACAAAGTAAACGGGATGCTTTGATCGATACCTGTGTTTTTATCATATTATGTAGTTCTCAGCCTAATGCATTACATTGCAAAGCACGTCGTCGGTCGTGATGTCACGATTTTCAAAATAGACGTGTGTCGCTAACGTTAGTGAGTGGTGTGCTATTAACACCCCTAGTTCTGACCCGTCTGACTTCATCTCCTTTCCACAGGAGGGCTGCCCTCTCTCGGTCGCTGCTCTACGCTCCTGGGACGGCCGAGATGTCAGCGTCTCACCCGTTAGGGACGCCAAACGGCTGCGAAAGGAGGAGGCCCCGCCGGCGCCCAGCCCGGCTGAGTTCCGCAGGTGCGCTATAGATGGCGCTGGTGATGGAGTCGGTTTTATATAGGTGGCGTTTGGGATAACGGAATGATAAAGATGGCGCTTGATAAAGCGTCCGAAGTGTCTTTTTTCTCCCATGGCTCGTGGATGAATATGTTACGGGAAATGTTGCCTCTTTACCTGTTCTTGACTGGACAGAAAATATTATGTCAGGTCATGAAGCTGTATTTCGACTTGCCTTACATATCTGAATAGTCCACATAGTTTCACAGACAACGGGTGTTGTTATTGTTATCGTCTGACCGTTGGCCCTCCCTCTCGACAGATCCAGCTCCCAGCGTCTGCTCAAGCCCCGTCCAGAGTTCCAAAAGTCGCGCACCTCCGAGTGCCTGCTCAAGTCTCGAGGCGCTGGTGATGAGGGACGCGCACTGCTCGGTTACCAAGACTCGAGTAGCGAGGACTCTTTGTCCCGCCCCCGACCTCCCAACTCGGCCCGCATTGTTGGGGGAGTGGGTGGCAGTGGTGGCGAGGGCAACGGCGGAGCGCAACTGCTTTCTGTGGCCTCTGATCTTCGGAAGAGTTCCGCGCCAGATGTGTACGTTCACGCAGACGTGGAGCGTCAGTGGAATGCGGCACTCAGTCGCTCGACGCCCAGCTTTGGCGAGCGCCTGGCGCCACCTACTCGCCACTTACGCATGCGTGGTGGCGGAGACCGCTCACCCAGCGACGCGAGCAGTTTGGCCTCCTCCGCGAGGAGTCTGTCGTCGAATGACACAGAAACGGACACGGTCAGTGCCGACGAGGCTGACGACGCGTCGGCGGCGGCGCCGGGCGTGTTGCAGGTTTTCGCGGCGTACGAGACCGGACTGGCAGCGGGAACGTCGGTGCGGCTGCACGTAACGCCTCGCACGTGCGCACGTGAGGTGGTGGATCTGGTGGTGAAGCAGCTAAACATGGCTGTGGTACTGAAGGGTCGTCAAGGTCCTGTGTACTCCGCCGACCAGCTGCGTACCTTCTGCCTCGTGGCAGTGATTGGCGCGAGGGAGAGATGTCTGAGGGATGATTTTCGCCCGCTACAGCTTCAGAACCCCTGGAAGAGGGGAAAACTGTTCGTGCGACGTCGCACAGAGATTTTAGCGGCGATTCAGCAGAACTCTGCACGAGATAAGGAAGCGGTCTAGGATCAGGAGGCCGTGTACTCAACTTCGCTGTGATTGGTTATGGAATGTGACTGCTTTGCGTGTGTTTATTGTGCGCGCGTTCTGTGCGGTGTTGAATGTGAGAGGTGCGTTTTATCAGCATTCCACGCGCGGTTGTAATGGATATTTATTGTGGTGGCGCGCGAGAGAGCTGCCATCTGTTGAGCGCGGCGTGAAGCTGTACTTACGATCGGGAACAGAGATGGGCTGTTAATTTATGCCGAACTATGTAGATGCTTTGTTACTTGTATCTTGTTGCGGCGGTGGCGCCGCGGCTTCAGGCGACTGTCTGAGGGTAGATGAGGATGGAATAAAAGGGAGCCCCCAACAGAGCTTTTGAAGAATTTTAAAGACCTAGTCAGGCAAAGAGATAGTGAAAATGCTTTCAGACGATTTTAAAAGTCTTCGGATGTTTCAAACTTTGTTGCCAGGCTTAGAGTAACAGAGTCGCGATGTCCGACTGCACAATATCCGACTTCTGAGCGGTGTAGCCTAGTTGACTCCACCGACGGATCCCGGGGCTGGCGGGGGAGGGGTACGTCGTCCACTCCAGAAGTTTTGAGACTGCCCTTATAGAACCCATATAAACAGTAATAAATTACTATCGTTCTCATATGATATTACCGTAGTTGTCATAAACGTACCTGCGTAATTTTGTTTTTCTACGTTGCAAGAGACGGCTAGGGCATCACTCTGAACACCGCAAGTCGCACGCGGCTTGTCACAGTGACCAGTGTGCAGCATAGTCAGGTTGATTTTGTGTAGACAACTTGGAGGGTCGCTATGCAATACAATTTTGTGTTTAGCTTGGTAAAAAATGTCCCAGAAACATTTCAAATTAACTCTTTAGTGACCTGTGACGAAAGCTAGATTTATTTTTTCACGGTCCAGAGACCAAGAGACAGTGTGTTCAATGGAAGCGCACTGACTCCCCAAGACCCAGGAAACCCAGACAGAGAAGGTGCACTGGGGAGCTCATAATGATCCCGTTCTTTGACGGCTAAGGCATCATCTTCATCAACTGTGTCCCCCACGGCTAAATAGTCAACAAGAAATACTACGTGGAGGTTCTGAGGGAGTTCATAAGGATATTTCGCCGTAAGAGGCCAGACCTATTCAAATCTGGCCAGTGGCAGCTGCACCTAGACAACGCACCCGCCCACAAGACCATCATGGCGACGGACTACCCGACACAGATGGGCATCAAAACTGTCCCTCATCCTCCCATACAGTCCAGATCAGGCCCCATGTGGCTTCTGGATGTCCCCCACACTGAAAGAAAAGCTCAGGGCTGAGGGCTCACCGTTTTGAGGATGAGAAGGAGATGAAAGAGGCTGTGACAAAGGCACTGGACACCTTCACTTTGAAGGACTACCAACCAGCGGGCCTTCAGGATGTGGTTGAAGCGCTACAACAAGTGCATTGAACTCGGGAGGTCCTATTTCGAGGGTGACTGAAGTTCCATGCTTCTCTGAAATAAATGAATGCTCCTAGTGAAAAAGTCTCAAAACTTCTGGAGTGCACCTCGATTTGGAGCATTCTTCTCTCCCGTAGCGTCCAATATTGTCGAAAATGTAATGTCATCAAATGATGTTTGGTTATGGAATCAGTACAAGTGCTAAAAACGGCGATCACGCTGTCGATTACGGTGCCAGCATGCAGTCCTCTGCCGCTGGGCTAAGCTCCTAGTTAGTGGTACACTCGTGGGCAGGTTGATGTTCGAGTAGGTACTCTTTATCCACCGGGCTCCTATGGCTCAGCATTGGCAGCAGCCGCCTGGTACCGGTAGACTGTGCCGCTTCACTTACTTGTCAAGCGGCACAGCCTACCCACACCGTATGACACCGGTCTGGGTCGGTGGCTGGAAGGCAATGTGGGCCGCCTGTGACGTCAGCGCAGCGGTGAGGGCCGAGCCCGGAGGCATGGCTCGGGTCGGCGCGGCGCGGCGGCTGGCGAGGGCTGGGGAGTGAGGTGGGGTGGGAGCATGGACCATCGCGCGGCTGGGCGAGTGTGGTTAACTTTCGCGTCTCCAGGCGCAAATTGTTCCAGGTCTAACAATTGCGCTAAAGCATTTGTTAAAATACCCTATGCCCAAGACAGCATCTATATCATTTACTTGCTATGCGCATTACGACGCACAAGCATGACATTTTCACGTGGGTCATGTGTGTGAACACACATGACATGACATTGTCACAAGCATGACCTTGGGACAGCCGATAGAACTTATGTCACAGGTGCATCGAGGTGCGGAGCTACATTGTTTATAAAATATAAGTGTTAATGCCTTGATTGAGCTGATTTGTGTCTATTGTTTCGCACAGCAAACGTCCAGAGACGTGGGAACTGGAGGTTATGAGTAGTGCGGCAGCCAACGCCGAATTTAAAGTGAATATTACTGTTGCTCTAATATGTGGTCGCAGCCACCAATAGCTAACCGTTTCAACTAGGAGCAAATAATTCGGGCACTCAGGAGGGTTCGAACCGGGCTCCTCCCACCGGACATTTTACGACACGAGCGTTCATCCACTAAGCTACCGAGAATGATCCCTAGCTGCACAAAACAAAATGACATTCGCCCGCTGACCGCCAATGACAGTTGTGTGACATTTGATCGCATTTGACCGCGGAGGGTGGTCACTGGTCTCGGTAGCTCAGTGAATGAACGCTGGCGTCGTAGGGTGACCGGTTGGTGAAGCCCGGCTCGGACCGTCCCGGGTGCGCGACTTATTTGCCCCTTGTTGGAATGGTTTGCTATTGGTGGATGCAACCACATATTAGAGGAACAGTAAGATTTGCTTTAGGTTGGGGCGTTGGCTGCCGCGCTATCCAAAAACCCCAGTTCCCACGTCTCTGGACGATTGCTGTGCGAAACAATAGACACAAAGCAGCTCAATCAAGGCCTTCGCTTATTTGTTATAAATAATGTAGCTCCGCACCTCGATGCACGTGTGACATTAGTTCTGTCGGCTGTCACAATGCCACGCTTAAGTGCGTCGTAATGCGCATAGCAAGTGTGATGATAGGCGCTGTCTTGGGCTAGGGTATTTTAACAAATGCTTTAGCGCCATTGTTAGGTGGAACAATTGGCACCTGGAGACGCGAAACTTAACCACACTCGCCCAGCCACGCGATGGTCCGTGATCCCACCCCACCTCACTCCCCAGCCCTCGCCAGCCGCCGCGCCGCGCCGACCCGAGCCATGCCTCCGGGCTCGGCCCTCACCGCTGCGCTGACGTCACAGGCGGCCCACATCGCCTTCCAGCCACCGACCCAGACCGGTGTCATACAGTGTGGGTAGGCTGTGCCGCTTGACAAGTAAGTGAAGCGGCACAGTCTACCGGTACCAGGCGGCTGCTGCCAATGCTGAGCCATAGGAGCACGGTGGATAAGGAGTACTCGAACATCAACCTGCCCACGAGTGTACCTACATTCAACTCTGGTTTACGTTAACGCCAAAATGCCTTTCCATAATGTTTCTTATGTATTTTTGCATATTGCATACAATATACATGCATGTGTCACATCACATTTATCCGTGCTAAAGACAAAGTATAAAATGACTGACAGTTGATCTTCCGCTTGTTTGACTTTACTGTGCTACATATTGCAATGTTCATTATGAACTAAAGTTGCTGAGACGATGCATGTGTTCTCATGCAGCGCCGATCATGCCATACGATGACTTGACTTGACTTGGCATGACATGACATGGCTTGTTAGCCTCCGAACTGGTTGCTGGTGGCCTGGTTGTTGGCGAACTGGCGGTTTCCGAACAGCCCTGTGCTCTGGCCCACGTTGCTGTTGGCACGGTTGAAGGAAGCGCCACCACCAAAAGCAGAACCCTGAAACAAAGGCAAACGTTACGAATCTGCATCACACAATACACCTCAGTTCTATTGACTATTTTCTTTCATTGGCGTGCGTAAGTGTGCTTTAGGAACATTTAACAGCGTATGCTAAGTCGATGAAATTCCGTCTGAATGATACCTATAGCAGTTTTCATTAGCGTGAAGGGGAAAGCAAAGGAGCGCTACCACGTCACACAGAAGGCACGCTTGTTATGCTTTTTATGTGAGCCGAGATAATGCGGTTCAACGAAGATACTAATGAGGAAAAACCACGAGCGCAATCGAATTGCTGTCAAAATCCTCCAACTCACCCCAGCATTCGCAAAGCTGTTCTGGATCTGGCTAGTGCCGCCGAAGAGGCCAGAGCTCTGTCCCTGAGTGGAGCCGGCGTTGCCGAACCCGGTGGCTCCTCCGACCGGACGCCGCAGGAACCGGCGGCTACCGAAGCTCTGAGCACTGGCGGTGGCTACCAGAGCCAGACAGAAGACGACCACGGCGACCTTCATGACTGCGGACCTGGGAAACCAGCGAGGAGCTTAGTGGTGAATGCAAAATAAAACTTACCAGTTACCACATTCTATACTATACCTATCCGCTTTGTAGTGGCTTATATTGAATATTCTTCTGACCCTATAAGAGATCGGCGGATGGAAAAGGTGGGTAAAATATGATTTCGACGTCAAGTGTATCCATGATACTGTAGATAAATGCGGGTTATAAGAAGAAAAGGGAAATTGGTAAAACGGATAGCTACTTCCATACAATGCATCAGCCAGAGGCTTGAGCCAAGTTTTCTCGATGAACAGAAACAACAAATAAAACAAAATGAAAATCAAACAGATGGTAGCTCAAAAGCATCAACTATGTCGAATGATCAGAATATATACGATCAAGAAATGCAGCCCCCCCCCCCCCCTTCCCCAAACACTCAACTATGCAAATAACCATTAAAATTCATTCATGGTAAGGGCACAAGCAAATTTCATGGCTGAAAGCTGGAGATTATCACCGTTTACAATGCCGATATCTCTCCCCACCGCATCTAAAAATAGCTCACACTACATCCCTTTGCTGTAAGTCATATTTACATTCCCAGACGGCGGTTGGCCTTTGTTACCCTCATCCTCACTGGAACACCTGTACTATAACACATTCACAATTACCTGTGACTGGAAGCTCCTTACTGCTGTCGAATGACTGTGCTTATGATGCCCGTCTCACTCGCGGCTGGTATTATATACTAGCGGCTACGGTAGTCCGATGGAACCGGTTTATTATTTCCCTGTACCCCATGCCCGGGAACGGTCACATATGCGTGGGCTGCAGACATCGTATTTCCCAGCCACCCCGAGGGCACTCGGTGCAAAGCAGTTTCGCAGAGTCGGTTAGGGGTAGTGATTTTGATTATTTTCACATGGAAATACCGATAGAATGCGGTCCGCAGCTTTGACAAACACTGAGCGCGGTAAGCTTGTGG